ATGTCCATGCAGCCCGTAAGTACGGCTTCCTCGGTCGGAGTTTGTTTTCAGACTGGTTTGCAACCCTGACGACTGCCGATTTGGTTGAAAAAGTCGATGAAATCCACTCGCGGAACTTGGCATTTTGAAGTTTCTCTAATCCTAGTTGCTGTGTATGAGAATCCTCGCTGACGTTCCATCTAAGGTGATGAAAGGAAATGTATACTTGGTCAATACTTGTACTCAACATTCTTATTGATTTTGCAATAGGGTGAACAAAAAATTGGTGAATATTCACGCGAACGTTTCCTCTGGAAAATATAAATTAGGAGTGAAGATTCTGCACGAGCGGAGCCGAGAGATGCCTCTTCTGGACGAAACGCCTGGATCAGAGCCCGGCGAGAAATGGCGATTCGGCGAATAAGAAATCTCCCTCGAAAAAGGCATGAAATATAAATCCAGCGTAAAAATTTGATAAATCAGGCATTGTTGAAAGGAAAATAAAGGTACTTGGGGCCGGGCGTGGGTGGGGCCGAGGGCAGGAAGCTCCGATGTGGGGAGGCAGAGGCTATTCCGTAGTTTAGATGGAGTTGGGTTCCAGTTCCGGCGAGGGAGGGCGCACCGGAAACGAATGTGATATATTAATGAGAAATGATACGCGGCCGCGACGCGGCGCGGCGCGGCGTGTAGCCCGGTGAGCCACTAGGCACTGCCACTCCGCCGCCGCGCCGCCCGTCTACGGGATATTTGCTTTCTTGATGCTATCAAAACATCGGGTGTTACTACAGCCCAGCCTAATTTCGGCATTTTCCGCCCTTCGGCCTTCGGCCTTCGACAGTCGACACGGCGCCGATTGAAACCACCCGCGGAGTCCCCCTCGCTCCCAACAAATCCCCAACTGTTTTTTTTCCCTCTCTTTTTTCCCTCTCTTTTTTTCCCTTCTCCTCCCTTTTTTCGGCTCGGATTTAGCAACCGCACCGGCTATCTCTGATAGCTTCCTATTTAAGTACTCTTGCATTAGCGTGAAGCCTTCGGTGTTGGCCGCTGTGTGCTCATGGTTGATAGATTGAAATCCAGTGCCGACGCACAGTGGATCGAGTCAATGGGAGAGCTCGGGCAAAATTTTGAAACTTTAAAAGCTTATAACTCCGTTTATACAAAACTTTAAGGTTTTAAAAGTTATTCCACATGTTTCGTAGTGGCATTGTCTTTTAAAATCACCCCTTAAAATTTAAAATGTGTCGAATTAATCCTTAACATTTGCAGTTTTAGTTAAGAATTTCATGTCCGACCTCTCTGATTGACTCGATCCACTGTGCGACGTGGGGAGAGCACGGACATGTTGGCAATTTTGGAGGTTAGACCATGGAGCTTACAGCGGGCCGATTATTGAAATGTATAGACAAAGAAGACATAAGGGGTATAGAGCGTATTTGCATTATCTGATTGCTTCTCGTGCATTGCTGATGGGTGAGATTATGAAAGGGAAGAAAATAATAAGACAGTAATCTTTCTCTCTAACGCGAACTCAATGGGCCGGTCGACTTCCTCGCTACAGAGAAGTTCTCGTTTTAACGAGAGTCGATCATAAAAAGACGGACGAGCTTCGAGACAGCAATGACTCAATAGACTAAGATACCATTCAGGGCTGCGAAATCTCTTGGATCCCTCAATTTTAGAAGTGCATCAGCCTTGGGCTTCACAACTGCACACTGCTCGGAAATGGTGTAGACCGGGGTAGCTCTCAGTGGCGTAACGGACTTCCGCTGGGCCCCCCTGCAAAATTTTTTCTAGGGCCCCTCATGTCGATAAAATTCCAAAATCATCCCCCCTCCCGCCCCTCTACTTCCCTCAACACTTCNGGGGGGGGGGGCTCCCCCCCAAAACCCTCCCAAGGGGCCATTTTGGGGGGCTGAAAATATTTTCATTCGATTCTTTGGGGTCGATTTACCCCATGAAAGTTTTTGTCCCGAAGCTCAATTCTCCGCCGTTTTCGAGAAAAAGATAGTGGATGGGTGGTCTGGATCACCCTGTACATATTTGTGAGTAACTGAAAGAGTAGAGGGTTCATGAAAATGAACACGTCTATTGACTGGCTGCAAGAAGAGAGAAGAAAAATGAACATTATTAGAATGTTCCGTTTATGTGTCAGTATGCAATTGCGAGAAACCAATTAACATGAACAAAAAACGATGTTAGCAGAAATTGAAAGAAATATGGCAACCTTCGTGGTGAGGGGTCTGTGAAGCCACCCTCCCTCACTCCTCAAGTAATGTCTTTGAGTCAAGTTCTGCAAAATTCTTCTTTATGTAAGATGCTTACGGTCCCATTCGCCGAAAGTAACGTGAAAAATAAACTATCAGGGATCCCATTTTCAATAGTTATGAAAAAATGTGTCAAAATCGTATTAAAACCCGTTATTCGGCTGAATTAAGATAAAAAATGGAATCTACGACGGAAAATACATCAGATGTAGGCACTTTGCTCTATTCTAAGAGCGGGAAATCTCTGTAATCAGAGAAAATAAGACGCATGATGCGCAATGACCGTCCCCTCCCATTGACTCGATCCACCGTGGGGCGCCTCGAAAATATCTGCACAGGGCGCCAAAAACGTAAATCCGGCCCTGGTTATGAGGTGGAATTAATACTGCCTTGAAAGTTTTCTAAACTTTGGAGACTTTCTTTTAGTTTAATGATATTTAATTGAGGATTTTGTGTAGTGAGGAGTTTGCGCTACACACCTAAAAATCACTGGTTTTCTTAAAAATTAAAGTTTTCATTCTAAAAAAAACTGACATTAGTAATGGTTTTGTTGAGAAGACGTCAGCGAACAATTGATGACAGTTTAGAAATTCCCGACTCCATCTGGCGAGATAAGGGCTGCACTTAATACAACTGCAAAAATATGTTGCCAATTGTGGTGACACTTCTTTCTAATGACTTTTCTCGCTTAATAATGAACGTATCAGTTCAAACTGGCAATTTTCTTGAGCAAAGATTGCCGAAGATTCCATGATAAGTACTGATTTATTACCGCAAATTGCTCTTTTGCTTCAAAATCAGGGTTGGCGATGGGTAACCGACCGGACATTTTCGGCTTTTAAAGTCTCATATTTTTAAATATAATAATAATTTATCATATTTTTTAGCATGGATAAGTTCAGGGACGTCATACCTATTGATTTATCAACTTGGTTTTCAGTTGTTTTGCCCATGTCGTTTATCACCCACAGCGACATGACTATTCCTCTTATCGTGAAATCACTCAGATGTGTGTCTCACCAGGTTTTGTATATCCGCTCTTTGAATGGGACTGAGATTGAAGTGTATCAGCAGCCGTGCTATGTCTGAATAAGTTGAAGACACAAAGATGGAGCCCTAGAAGATTAAAATGATGCAAATTCTCTGATTGGCCAGAGGAGTGGCGGCAAAATTGGGACAAGTTAGAAATTCAAATATAGGGCGGGAACTGAATAAAACTGGGTAAACAGGGTATTCTAGGCTGAATTTTGCTCAAATGTACTTACCCTGATATATTTTTTTAAACTTTAGGTTATTTTTGGTCCCTCATCGACCGTTTAATCTCAATTGAGAGTAACAGTCATCTAGGAATGTAACGGCCTGTTCGAACCGGCAGGACCGCCATGAGCAAAAGTAAAACTAACTTTATCTGAGATCTTCGCTTGTTACCGAGCCAAAGTAGGTTCATCATTAAAAGCCACCCTCCCAGCTTTATTTATTTGTTTGGTTTAAGCATTTATTACGAGTTTAGAGCAAGGAATGTGCAAAAATCAAGAGTACAAGTTCAAATCAAATTTCCATTTCCCGCCACAGATTCTCGTGCTTATTTATATTTACATACTGACACAAACGCAGAGTGCCGGGGCTGTGTCACTTCTCCCCCGTATTAGCAGATACGAGTGCTCCGTTTTTATGTCTTCGGAATAAGTGCTGAGTTAGCCCTCCCTGCACATTGACTTTTGAAACTTTCTTGCTTTGTTGGTAAGACAAAACAAGATAACTGTAGAACCCGCTTCAGATAGCTTGTCATTTCTCGCTGTATATGGATGTATGTATTGTTTTTGTTGCGTGAAACAGGGAATTCTCTATTCCATGCATACAGCATATTTACGCTCTGGAGCATGTCGATTCTTGACATGTTGGCATTAATTTTATCAGCGAGGCTACAGGAGACAAAAATTTGTCCTAGACGCATGACGAAAACGTCTGTTAGGGGGCGCAGCCCTCTAATGTAGCATAATTCGAGCTTAGTGAGAGCTGCATTATGGAAGTAAACTTTTGGGACTGTCTGGAAACGGAATTACCCGATTCCAAATGGTCGGCGTTGTTGGACTGGAGTTCATCAATGCCAACATAAGAATTACCTGATAGATTGTTTGTTTACATATGAAAGCCTAACATTTCTACCAAACAGCGTTCTCAGGAAGTCGATGGGATGGTTGGATTGGGTTTGGAAATGGAAGAACCAAACGTAATCGGACAAGTTTACTTTGACAACGCACCTGAGGATGATTTTAGTTGTAAACTGCTTTAAGCTTGAATGTTACCATCAGATAGACTTAAGGTGAATTGTCAATGTTTCTGACGCAGGCGATTTGGCATGCGACACATCGCATCAATTATGTTAAAAATTTCGGCAGCTTATGCATTTTTCTAGACCAATGCTAGGTTTTTCCTAAATAGGAGTGTGCTCTCATTTTTCCGAATGCCAGATTTTTGGTTCAGAATGATTCTGTAGGCTCATGCGCAGAGGCTTTTGTCCTACATTTGGCTAAAAATCCAAAATCTAATGAGACTTTTGATGTAATCAATGCGATACATTGCATGCCAGTTTGACTTCGCCAGAGACGATGATGAATCACCTTAACATTTCCATTGCCTGCAGGCAACCTCTGATATTATGGCGATGGGACTTTTGGTAGCTGCAAGGGAAATGTCTGCATGATGATGCAAAGCAGAGAAGGATTTTAACCTAATTTTTCTCTTTTATGTTCATAGATGTCAAGTGAAACTAATGCAGAATCGGACATGGAATACTCAGAAGATGATTGCAGTTACGAAGACTATTACAACTCTGTCGATGATTGTGATAGTGAGCAGGTTGATTTCAAGAAAGTAGATCCAGAACATCACATGCTTGATTGTCTCTCAGTTGAAGAGGTTGAAAGACTTCTCAATGAATCTGTTGAAGCTTTATGCAATGAATTGGAGGTAATGCACTCTCTTCTTTATTAAATCAGTTTTGAAAGGTCAATTTCATGGGAGCTTTTGATAGAGTTTGAAATTTTAGGGAGTGGCAGTAACCACATCTGGGCAAGTCATAACATCACGAGCGCAAATTGAAGTCCTAAGTCCTTAATTAAGAAGTCCTCCTGTGTAGTTAATTAAACTGAAATCACTTTAATGCTCGATTGGAGTCTTATAGATTCCGATTTTCCTTTGAGTGGGAAGTGTGCATTCTTACAAAAGACTTCCATCGTTTCCTCAGTAGGTAATAAGTCAGTTTTGGAAAGTTTTATTGCGTTCATGCTATTCTGTGTAAATTTTTGATTATAAAACATCAAACATGTTTTGTGATTCTTGATTTTGTACCCTGTGTAGTGGTCCATTACTCGGCAAATTTGTTAGATGTTATTCTGAGGGCTCTTTTTGGATTTGAAGGAAACTGAATATTTGTTTTCCTTACAGGTAGTACCATCACTTGCCAAGGTACTACTTCACACTCACGAGTGGGCTGTTGGCAGAGTCATCTCGCAGTTTAGAAGTAATTCCTCTCAACTGCTCATTTCATCATGTGTCAAACCAGCTATACCACCTGTACAGCATCAAGAAAATCTGACTTATATGACTTGTCCTGTATGCATTGCAACCCATCCAAGAGAGAAATTTTGTAGTTTGGCTTGTGGTCACATGTTTTGTAAAGATTGTTGGGCAATGCATTTTGAAGTTCAAATTTCTTTGGGTGTGTCCACCGGTAAGTCAAAATCGTCTTGCACCCACTCTTATTTACTTATTCCTTTTACTTTGTCCATCCACCTGAATAATCCCCCTTAAAATTTCATTGCCAAGTAGGTCATTGTAAAGCTCTCCTCAGTAGACACACTCAAGTATATTGTTGCCAAATTCCATGTTGATAGGAAGGTTAGAACGCCTGAAAAATGAGATAATAATGGAAATCAGCTTATGGCGGCCAACTTGGAAAATGGCGGCCAAATACGGGGAAACATGGGAGATCCATCTTGTGTCCCGACAGCTTTCTGTTCTAGATAGGTACCTTAAATTACATTTTCACCTAGTTTCATGGTGGTAGCCCAATTTGAACTATATGACCCTAAGCGACCCACTATTAAGGAAATCCTTCGATTAAAAAACGGAGGTGCCAATTTGCGGCTAGTTTGAACTTTAACCGGCCACCACTTTGAGACGGTTTGAGCTGTTGACTACGAGTTTGGGCGAAATGTTTTCTTTTTTATGTTCCTTCGAACGAGGTATGACAAGGGGTGTCTTTGCATTTGAAAAAAAAAGTTGGGCTGTTGCGTTCAAAAGGGTTCCTCCTGAAAAATTAACAAGGGCCAAAAAGTAGCTCCCTTTGACCTAAAAACATCCCCCAAGTTTTGAATCTTTTCCCCAATTAAGCAAACAGTTAGAGAGGGTAGAAGGGACTTTTAGATCACCCTATATAAACACTTTCGGAATTTTTGAATGTGCGCCCAACAATTGGCTGAAACATGGAAGAAATTTCATATTCATACCTGGAACTCAAGGAATTTACATGGTGCTTCCCGGGAAAATCCTGGAGAAATGAGCGAAAACTTCGGTTTCTCATCAGGTAATGAGCTTTTCAAACCTAGAAAATAAAGACGGTCACGGATTCTTGACACCATGAATACCAGGGAAAATTCAGGGAACAAGGGTTATTTCATAAACTGGGAAACTAGATTTTCTTAGGGAGGGAGTTCAGTAACACTCTTGGATATTTTGCTTTTGTTTGTGCATTAAATGCTCACATCCGAGCATCACAAATCATCACAGCCCATGAAAATCAGCCATTTCAAACTTCTACATTTGGTGTTCAATAGGAAAAATTCAATGTCAATACTGCACTGCCATCCATAGGGTAACCTTAGCAACTATTCCGTGCATTTATTCTTTTTGTTCGTGGTTTTTGTTATTTTGGGTGTATTTTAGTACTTTTGTGGCTTTTTATTCCCATACTTTCAATTTTTTTCATTGTTCATTCTTACGTTGTCCTGCAGGTATAGCATGTATGGCACAAGACTGTGGTGTTCTGACTCCAGAAGATTTTGTTCTTTCTCTTGCCCCAAGACCCCAGCTGAGGGAAAAATATCAGATGTTCTGCTTTCGTGACTATGTCAAATCTCACCCGCACTTGAGGTTTTGCCCCGGTCTCAACTGTAATGTTGTAATGCTGTCAAAAGAGCTGAAAGCCAAGAAAGCATTTTGCACCCAGTGTAAAACAATGTTTTGGTACGAATTTCTCTGTTCAGTGATTTACTGTTCACGTTAATTTTGTTCTCTTCTGAAAGTGTTCATGAGTCTGAACACAGTATATTTTCAATGTGTATGTTCTATCATGGTAAATAAAAAAAAACTGAACGTAGGAAAAAAGAAAAAGACCAGAGAAAAATGCAAAGAAACCTGAGTCAAATGTGGTCAGAGGGACCAAACTTAAGAGCGATTTGAAGGGACAAACTTAAGGGAGAAAGGGCATCTGTGGAAAAAGGAGTGAAAAAAAGGGAGGATAAAATTGATTTAAACCAAGGAACCAGCGTATTTTAAGGAAAAACTGTCAGACCCAATCAAGGAAAAAAAAAAGAGATGAGATTTTTGTGGTTATGGTGACAATAATTGATGAAATTCATTCAATTGAAAATTTATTGCTCAAGCTGAGTTGCTTGCGATCTCTTTTTCTTTCCTCAATCTCCCTCGTATTTCCCAAACAGCTTCATTTGACGGTATCCTGTAGGCCATTTTAGCCAGTAGGGCTCGCTTTTCGAAATCGCTTGGATGTACCATAGTACTGCACACCGATCAACCAATGCTATTCAACAGGCGGTCCAGATATTTTCTCCTCAGACCCACTTTTTTGTCTTTGGACCGTTATACTGTCAAGTCCTGATGGTCTTTTACCAAAAAACCAAAAGAACTGCTAATTGGAAACCCTTGAGATCATTTTCCTGTCAAAACCGTATTATTTCATTTGACAGAAACCTCATAAGCTTTTCTGTGCTCGGAGGACTCAACTTTAAAAGCTTCTTTCCCCTTAAAAACTTTTTAGTCAATGAGCGTCTTGCGCTGTAAGTGCAGTCTCTGACGAGCCTCGTGACTCATTATACCATGTGCTAACCGTGGTCCCTGCAGAAATCCACTTAAATCACTACAGTTATATCCCGATGTAGCTTTGGGTATCCAGTTTCGAGCAAGGCAATTTAAGACGACGGCGAGGCGCTGTCGAACCTTATCTTTCAAGACTGATTAACCATTCACCGTGACGCCAGGATTCACCAAATTTTCACAAAAACGGTTTCCTGTCTATTTAGGGACTGTTTTCGTACTCTCCGTTAAAATACATATAAAAAGAGACCTTATTTGAAAAATCGGCCGAATAGGAGAGAAGTTACAGTTCGAAATCCAAAGAGATTAACTTAACGCGATTTCGATGCATGGCAGTTCGCCCAAATCGCGGTCGCGCGTAAATGCCGCATATCAGCTAAAAATGAAGATAATTGAACGGAGTCTTTCAAATTAATTTACATTCAACGTTCATGAATCAATATTTTCTCCCAAATTTAGGAAAAAGTACCAATTGACACAAATAGCAAAGACGTGAAAATAGAAGGTATGTGTCCAACATTTCAGTTATTCGGCTTGCTTTTCCAACATATTCGTGTTGGATTTTTCTTCTTGTTGTTTTATTATATTCCTTTCTTTATAAATGGTCTAAACACTGCATTTTTTGTATTTACTTGGTTAATTTTTTTATTTATTTCAGTTTTAACTGTAGCCTAGACTATCATGCACCCTCTGATTGTAATACAATTAAACGGTGGTTAACAAAATGTGCTGATGACAGTGAAACAGCTAACTATATCAGTGCTCACACTAAAGACGTAAGTGTATTGTCTAATGAAATAATTATAACTGTCTTATTTTTAGCCTAAGGGCCTTACAATGTAAGTGATACTTAAGTATGAGCAACTTCAGTTATTCCCTACAATAAATATGTCATTTTCTAAGAGTCATCTCTATCCTTTCAATTCGTTATTTTACCCGACAAAATCTTATCTTGCATTAAGAACTCCCTCATATACCATATTTTAACTATCTTTTGAAGTAACAGGATGATAGAACAGTGCTAAGTCCACAGTATTATATTGTTACTTACTTACTTACTTACTTACTTACAGCATTCAGAACATTAGACATTTTTAATGTTTATTTGACCATCCACTTCATAAGAAAAACATGCTCAGTAATACTCCACCCCACTGCACTTGCACTATCTTTTGGATCCTACCTCTCCATCAGAATATAGTCAGTTACACGTATCATGTCCTAATCTCAGAACATGCTCATGTTTCAAATGAATGTCTCAGGGGAATTGGAAATCAAACAGATAACATGATTCATGGGTTGTACTCCAATGGATGTTGACGGTGAAACTTTCAAACTTGCAGCTGGTTCACGGTGTTTTAAAATCTCTGTTCCCACTTAATTAGTCAAAAGCAGAAATCATCAACATCATACCTACCTGAAAGTTTTCATAGAATTTTTTTTGCACAGGGTAGAAGTATCTGAAAAGTTTTTAAGAGTTGATGCTAAGTAGTTCTCCATTTAATAGAAAAGTATGACTGGAATTCTGCAACAATGCAACGGAGTGAACTGAGATACGTGGTTCGAGAGTTCCTCTATCATTATGATTTTTGCACCTATGAATTATTGATTCTGAATCTATTCAAACTGATTGCAAGCTGACAATTAAGTCAATGTCTTTCATCGAGCCTGCCTTGTTCAATTTTTCTTTTCCTGTTCTCAGTGCCCCAAATGTCATGTCTGTATCGAAAAAAACGGTGGTTGTAATCACATGCAATGCCGCAACTGTAAGCATAATTTCTGTTGGATGTGCCTGGGAGACTGGAAAGCTCATGGTGCCGAATATTATGAATGCTCTCGCTACAAGGAGAATCCTAATATTGCCAATGAATCTGCTCATGCTCAGGCCCGGGAAGCACTCAAAAAGTACTTGCACTATTATGAAAGAGTAAGTGTGTGCCATGCCTAGTTCTTTTTCCAACTACGTTAAAGTGAACCCCTTCCTCTGAGAGTCATCCACTGAAAGAAATGTATGGTACAACTATTCATCTATTGGTCAGCAGAAAGGCGTAATGTACAATGGTTGTCTTAGCCTTTGACACTCTCATTTGACTTTTAATACTTCAGCTATAATTACTGGTAATACCAACCAACTGACAATCACCAGCCCTCGGTTCGTTTGAAAAAAGTTATATGAAAAAACCCATTACCTCCGGTCTTCCTTCAGAACCTTAAAGTAGGAGGTGAACACGTTAATTCAAGCCCTAAACGAAAAAATTCGGTCGAGCTCCTGGAAAATAAAATCGATTTGAAAAATGTTTGCCCGGAATTGGCTGAAAATTGCTGATTTTGGAACAGATATCCCATTAGAAAAACGAGGCAATGTGGTTTTTGATGTTTCAGAGTCAGGGGAGGGTGCGAAGAAGTTTGTAAGCCCCCCTCCCCGAAAGAAACACTCCGGACCCCCCTCCCCCCCCAACAAAAAAGCCTTGCAAATGCGCTAGAATGGATGAGCATGCCTGTGGGTCCTCTTTAGTATGGAAAGGAGGGTAGGGGTCTAGGGGGAGAAAGAGTATGGGGGAAGGGGTCAGGAGACCCCCTAAAATATAAGCCCTTACATCTGTCCACAATATTGCATACCCTCCCCGGCGGACCCGTGGTTGCGCGCACAGGCTTATCTAATTTCTTTGAGTGGTGTAGGTGCGCACATAGTATCTCTTTCAGAATTAAAAAATTCTACGAGTAAGAGACTTTCCCAACTCTCTGACCTTTCCTCTGTCTATGAAGCTTTATATTTACTGCCTTGGCTTCAATACTTTCTTCATTTTATCCTGTGTATTCCCGCATATTTTTTCTTCAGTAAATGCTTCCTGTGTGCTATCTTACTTTTGGTCCATACTTGTTTTGAAGAATTCTTTGCTCTGCAGCATTTAATGCTTCATCATGTATATTTAAACGTAGTAAACTCAATATTTCTTAAAAAAAAAGCTACATCTTCTTGATTATTTTAAATGCTCGTTTAATGGTTCACTGTAAATTATTAGAATGTACTTAGAGAGGCCACATTTTAACCTTTTAGTACAGAAAATTTGGAAATGGATGCAAAGCTGAGGGAGAATGTACCAGAAAGAGGAAAGGTCAGAATGTTGGGAAAGACTCTTACACATAGTATTTTTAAATTCTGAGATACTATGCACGCAAATACGGCCAAATCAGATAAGCCATCGCGCACAACCGCAGGTTTGACGGGAAGGGTATGCAATATTGGCAACAGATAGGCAACGGATGGGACAGATGAGGGCTTATATTTTGGGGGCCATCCATTAATGATGTAAGGCACTTTTCCCCATTTTTAGACTCCCATCTCGTAAGGAACCATAAGGCATCCCTTCCCCCCCACTCTAAAAATTACAAAAGGCTCGACTGACCCCCCCCTTTTTTTTTCAATTATCACAGAACTAAGCAGTACGTTTTCTTTCAGAAAAACAATACAATTTCCAGGCCAAAATTTGTATTAATGAAACTAAATTTTTGAAGTAAGTTCATAGGAAATATTTATGATACAATCAGTTTAAGAAAATAAAATACACGGAGGGAAATTGAAGATTTTTTTTGTCTTTGGAATAGTTTAGAGTGTTAAGCTGACATGAGAGTGAAATCACTACTCACCATCTCTCGGAGTGGAGAAGTTTGACTCAAGAGAAGTGACAGGAGCATGGTTCGATTGGTCAGCAGTCGGTGATGTGCTAATTTCCTCTATTTCATCCTGGATTTCATTAACATCCTGGTGAAAAATGTATTTTTGCACTTTCTTTAAATATAGGCTGGGAAGCTTACATAAGGCTCAGCCATACCCCCTCCTCCCCCCTCATAAGGCACCGTAAGGTTGTTAGAGACCCCCTTCCCCCCTAAGAGCCTTACGTAATTTATGGACGGTTCCTTAGGGGGGGCTCCTGCCTCCTTCCCTCAAACCATCTCTCCGCCCACCCTCCTTTCCATAACAAAGCGGACCCGGAAGCATGCTCAATGCTCATCGATTCGAGCGCATTTGCATCTTTGATCCATCAGTTTTGAAGCAGATATGCCATTAGCCAAATGAGGCAATGTGGTTTTGATATTTCCAAGTAGCNGCCTCTGGGTAGGGTATGCAATATGGGGACGGATATGAGGTCTTATATTTTAGGGGGTCTCCTGACCCCTTCCCCCTGACTCTCTCTCCCTCTAGGCCCATATCCTCCTTTCCATACTTAAGAGGACCCAGAGGCATGCTCATCGATTCGAGCGCCTTTGCAGGGCTTTTTTGTTGGGGGGAAGGGGGTCCAAAGTGTTTCTCTCAGGGAGGGGGCATGAAAACTCATTCGCACCCTTCCCCGACTCTGAAACATCAAAAACCCTATTGCCTCATTTTGCCAATGGGATATCTGCTCCAAAATCAGCAATTTTCAGCCAATTCAGGGCAAATATTCTTCAAATCGATTTTATTTTTCAGGAGCTCGACTGAAATTTTTCGTTTAAGGCTTAAATTAATTATTGTGTTCACATCTTACTTTTAAGTTCCGAAGAAAAACCAGTGGTAATGGGTTTTTTCATTCAACTTTGGTTCAAACTAACTGTGAGCGGGTATTACATGAAACGAAACAAAAGCTAGTTTCAGGTTGATTTTTTCCATTTGCTGCCTGCGCATTATAGAGAATAGCATACTACAAAAAAAGGAAAGTAATCTGAAGCGGGCTATAGTTTATTTTGCACTGAGCATTCCAGTGAATTTGGTAACAGCAACAGTGTAAAGGATTAAAGGTAACTCTTAAGGGCTACTGTAGCCAATAGCCTGTTGGTGATAAGGGACGAAACTGGTGGCCACTGAAATGACAGGCTACAGGAAGCATGCTTAGTGGTATGAGATTATAAATTTCTGGCTTTACTTGTGTTCACTATAATCAGACTCACTGTTCACAAAACTTCTCACTGTTCACAAAACTTGTTCCTCAAGTCAGTACTTGAAGTAGTAAATGTGTGTAGAAGTTTTGCCTCTTTGTAAGTGCAAATATCAAGACATCTCAAGAGCTTCCTCCAAAATCAAACACCCTTGAAATTGGCCAATCAGAATGCTAAAACTGAGTAAAGAACCTCAATTTGTGTTGATTTTTTTATTGATTTAATTTATTTAATAATTATAATTTTTTTCTTTAATTCAGTGGGAGAATCACTCTAAAAGTTTAAAATTAGAGGAGCAAACTGTTCAGCAAATTAAATACCGAATCAATGAAAAAGTGATGACCTGCTCAGGAACCTGGATTGACTGGCAGTATTTAATGGATGCTGCAGCCCTTCTGGCTAAATGTCGTTATACCTTGCAGTATACTTATCCTTATGCTTACTACTTAGAACCTGGTCCGCGTAAAGAACTGGTGAGTTTATTAGAGCACTTTTTTCTGTTTTTTACTTTATGTTTTTCATGAGGGCTTTATTTCTGTCCAAAACCATATGCCATTCTATGTTGCACAGCAACAAGTCGAATCCGTCGCACCACTATTTCTGACAAACTATCGAACTGGTAAGGTTGATCCCTAAATTTTTTATTATATTAGCTTTAGATTGGAAAATAATTAGAAGATCCCAACTTTCAATAATTTAGAACTTTCAAAGGAAAAGGTGCAAATGTACAACGAGGTATTGGAGATATATGGTTTCTGCATGATATTTATCATGCCTAATTACAGTTCATTTCATAACTCTAATCCTCAATTGGTTGGAAACCTTGCTTGGAGAACTGCCAACCCGTATGGGGGAGATGGGAGAGTAGAGGATAGGAGGTAGGGTCTGTGCCCACTTGCTCGCTGCTGAACACAGAGCATGGCCCAATCCCTGTCTATGGCATGTACAAGCAGTTATGGGCTGTGCCTCTATTGGCTGCGAATGATTGTTGGAGACTAGGATCTTTTGCTTCTCGTCTCGTTTCCTGAATTTTCAAGTGGTCAGTTCGGAGTTTCTCGTAGAATCAAAGAACTTGGAGCTTTGTTGGCAAGACATTACAATCTTCCTTCAGTTCTTAAAACTCGCCCGGTTTAGGTTACAGTGAGTACAATTTTTTCTCCTGTCTATGATTGATGCAGCTATGAGTTCCAAGTTTGGCAGTAATTGCTCAATGTCTCATAAAAAAGTCGTTTCGGCCAAATTGAATAATCAGCACAGGTCTTCTTCATCTTCAGGCTGCCTTGGGAGCAATCACATCACTATAGCAACTGAGAGTGTTATGATTTAAATTGGTAAAAACTGCTGCTTATAAAGGTTTTTGTTCCTTTTGGGCTGCCCAATCAGGTGTGCTGGAGGTGCACATTGCTGTGGGCACTCCCTCCTCTGGGCTTCCCCCACGGCACCACTGCTTCGCGGCGTACCAGGAACAGCTTCTCCCACGCAACTTATGTGTGGTTTCGAAATGGTACCGTTACTGTTTTCACGTTTAAGATACGCAAAAACAAAGGAAACTTTGAGCTTTGCCGCTGAATGGGCCTGTTGCAAACTTTTGCTAGAGCAAAACTAAGAGTTGTTTCCTGCAGATAATGCCTCAAAAATCACGATGAGCGCATCGGCAAAGTCTGAAATGCACTCATAACTTCACAATCTGCGTAAGATATTTGCGTTTTTTTGAGCTTCCCGCTTCGAAAACGATACTACGGTACAGGTGAACATTTTGTTAGAGGAGTCGTTCCATTGGCGACAATACTCATCATGGCCGACGCCAGTCCGCCAAAACACGTGTGATGGGACGAGATAACACCTGAACAGGGTTAAACCATATAACAATCGGCGTGTTTACGTTCATATTTTCCTCGCCCGCCTTAATTGACCTTGAACTCTCCTCGAATTACGCGAGGAACTGCGCAAGCGTCGGCCATGATGAATATTGCCGACGATGGAGCGACTCCTCTAACAAAATGTTCCCCTGTGCAGTAGTATCGTTTTTGAAGCGGGAAGCTCAAAATAACGCAAATTTTTTACGCAGATTGTGAGTTTATGAGTGCATTTCAGACTTTGCCGATGCGCTCATCGTGATTTTTGAGGCATTATCTATAGGAAACAACTCTTCATTCTGCTCTAGCAAAAGTTTGCAACAGGCCCATTGTCAATTTTAGCCGATACTGACTAATCTCTCACCTGAAAAATCAAATTTTGGATCTGCCATCTTTAGGCCCAATGTATTGATGGAAAACGTCAAAATTCGAAAAATTTTTACGTTTGTTTTTTTTTCGTAACCTAATAGAGCATCTCTTAACGTCGGGACAACTCAATCCAAAAATTTTTTTTAGAATCACCCTACGAATCACATACACGGAAATACTGAAAGAACTCTAATTCTTATTTTTGGTTAGGTTTGCAATGTGGACCCAGCACTATTCTACCATCTTCTCACTTAATTTATTCAGGTCTCATTTATTTTTAGTGTTTTCTCTTCCCAGCACAGTTGCAGATGTGTGCTTTTCTCACTTGCGAGTGAGAAAAATGTTCGCATCTCTCACTGCCTCATCATCATTTCTTTGGATGTTTTCCTTGTTTCGTCCAGAGCAGGGATTTCAACAGTTTCGCGAGTTAAGTCTACAGAGACTCGGACTCAGTGAACGAGATCGGCAGTCGGGTCACAGGCAGACTCAAACTAGAGGTGCTGGTCTGTCACGGTAATTTTTGGTAGTCTCGAACCTCTGGCCTGAGACTGACCGTCGACCGTCGCCCGGTACCCACCAGACCACGAAATCGAGATCCTTTGTCAACGGATGATAACTGTTGAGACTCAAGCTCAAGGGTACCTGTAAGCAGACAGGGACAATACGCTCGCACTGCTCCACCGCCGAAACCGGGGATCCCCGGTTTCTCTCTCTCCGGCAATCATCCCCGCCGTAAACCACGTAAATGTATATCATTTCACAGCCTGTCCGTGACCCGTGACAGCCCTGCAACACCCCTGATGTTCACTTCCGAGAATATCCTGTGAGCGTGCAGCCGAAACCGCTGGTCAGACGGTCCTGCCCTTGCGAGTATGCATTGTTGTTGAGATCTTACCCAGACTCTCTCTCCAGAGGGTCTGCAGCTGCAGCGAGTCTGCCCACGGTTTCGTTGAGATGGTGAACCCGATGTCGATCTCACGTGAAGGGTAGACTCTGACCAGAGGGTGCGCACCCCCCAAACTCTCTGACGAGAGATTGCTTCTGCATCAAGTTCGCCCGCTTACTCGATTCCCAATCCCTAGTCAAGAGAGTTGTTCGGCAGCAATGATATAAGGCACAAGGATCTAAAGTGTTACAAAATAAACTCGAGTAAGTTACAGTGCAAGACGGAAGGATGACAGGGTTACCACAGTCAGGGAAAACCCAGAAATGTTAGGGAATTGTAATGTCAAGGAAAATCTAGAACTGTCAGGAAAAAATTGTCAAAATTCACTTTCATTTCCTCTCTAGAATAGATTTGACGTTTCAAATAACAAATTTTGCCTGAAAACAATTTCAAATCATGTCTATTGAAGCATTTGGCATGTCCTCAATTGTCAGGGAATTTCACCTTAATGTATCAGGAAAATGTCAGGGAATTTAATTTCCTAAATTCTGTGGCAACTCTGGGTATAGAGTGTTCGGCTCAGGTAGACACATTGGAATATTATGCGTTGGATCTTATTTAGGACGGCCATTTAGTGATGTATAGTATTTTGAGGAATACTGTGCGGAGCTTACTGACTAAGTGGACCGTGTCAAGCAGAATGCAACCGAGCCACATCAACTACTGCCAAATTCAACTGAGCAATTCTGTTTTTTAAATGAAAACGGTTGTGCGGTTTTTTGTTCAAATTTCAGTGAATTTTCTGCATATTGCAAAACAAATTCCGTAACATTTCCTAAGGAATCCCTATTAGAGTTCTCTTGTAAAAAATGAAACTGTCCAATTAAATTTGGCAATAGCTGATGTAACTTGTTTCCTTTCTGCTGGACGCGGTCTATGTGTAATTTGCTGATGAGGTCAAAATAGACCCAAATTGGTATAAATGTCCTTGGCGTGACCCCGGCTTACAAATAACATTCCAATGTAGCTGCCTGAACGGAACACTGTATCACTCTTTTTCCTACACTGAAACTCACTGAGTAGTATGAAAATACCGACTTGACCGCAGTACAATATACGGTAAATATCCAACAGCGTTGCACGATGGTGCAGGAAAATACGAATTAATTACAGTGTTGTAGGGTGATTATTATTCAATATGGCAACGCTGTAAAAAGTAAAAGTATTGTATGTTGCCCCTTCAACATGCGGGTTATGCAATAGTGTAATATAGCCCCTTCAATCTGTGGTTGATGCAATGGTGTATTCTTAAAGATGGCGGTTACAACGTTGCCAGACGGTGCACGTAAATAAATTATTTATTAAGGGGTGAAATTTTGCAACATCGCATTTTACAGTGTTGCCAGATGGTTCAAGAAGTAAGTTGATTTTTCGATATAATGTTGTCAGATTGTGCAAAAAAAATTCCAAGTTTCAGACTTGTAAAAATTTTCAAAGTTGAAAGACCGTATCTTACAGTAAGGGTCTGGTATCGGAGACTGAAGAGTAGGGTCTGTGACGAAAATTGAAAAATTTTTCGGAAAATTACCGTCCTCCGATCCGCCGCAGACGGATGCGATTCTTTTCCATTATCGAAGATCGGAAAACTGTACGGACCGAATTTTGATACGACTTTCCGTTTTCGAGATTTCGGACTTGTAAAATTTTCGGCATCGAAAGAGAGAGCTTCATTCACTTCTACAGTAGCATAAGTACCCTTATAAAACCCCTGGAAGGAAGTTCTCAGCGTTGCCGGTTCACATAACGGTATCCATAGACCGTCTTCTCCAGTATGGTTCTGGTATCGGAGACTGGAGAGTAGGGTCTGATTCGGGAAATTAAAAAATTTTCGGAAAAAAACCCTCCTCCGATCCGCCGCGGAGCGATGCGATTCTTTTACACTATCGAAGATCGGAAAACTGTACGGACCGAATTTTGATACGACTTTTTGTTTTCGAGATTTCGAACTTGTAAAATTTTGGCAGCATCCATGATAGACCATATCTTACAGTATGGGATGCGAGAATCATTATATGAGGGATCCCGGTCTTTAAAAATTAACTATATTATTGGATCTGGCATAATTTTGGCGCGTATACGTAGTATACCGCCTTTGCGATCGTTTCGACCCCCCCCTCGATACAATAACCGAGTCCCCTAGTGCCTTACCGAAAAGTGACTGGCGCGAACTTTTGAGATTTTCCAAAGCGTGTAAAAAGTTTACTAATCCGTCAATAATAATGATTAAAATTTGTTTCTCATTCTGGGGCTCGCTAGTTTATGTGTAATGAATACCAAGAGTCTACGTTTCTTGGTTTTTTTT